ACTTAACCCAAAATGTAGTTTTACGTTTAGCTAGAAATTCAATTCACTCACTCGTTTTTTTGATTCGTCGATTTACATAGCAGATCTTTTTTGAGCACCTAGTTAAGTGCCAGGCCCTGAGCTATGTGCTGAGACTGGAATTGTGAACAAAACAGATATTGTTGGAGACCTGCCACTCTAATGAGAGAGAGAGAGAGACAAGACCCAAATAAATATACAGAGAAAAATGTGCAGGTTGATAAGGACCATGAAAGAAAAATACAGAAGACTCTGTGAATATCATAGAGGCAGCTGTTGGAGCTGTGTCTCCCATTGCACTGCCTGCCTGTTATCACATCGGCACACACGTGAGCTCCTTGAGGTTAGGGCCTATATTCTTCAATTGTTATATCCCATCCACTGTGGTCAATGACTAGAAAAATACCTAGCATATAGTTTGCATGTACGTGTCCTACATTCTGCTGTTCCAAATGTCTCCAAGGCAAGGAAAAATCTCTGTAATCCTTGAAGCACCTAGCACAGGACTTTATATGTAGCCGGCTATCCTATATTCTACTTGAATAGAATTGTATTTTTTAAAAATTCAGCTACATTTCTGTTTTGATTGATTGCTTGTACTGTTTCCCATACTTGTGCACGTTAAGGTAATAACTTGGATTCAGGTTCACTTATTAGAAGGAAGGACCCAGGTGGCCCAGGGTCTTTTGAAATTTGATTTCCTGGCCAGTGTACCCACAGAAGGCACAGATTTAAAACCGCAAACCCCAGAATTACTCAAACCCTTTCCAGTTTGAAATCACTAATGTGAGTCATCTACAGAAGGAATTATCTTCCTCTGAGCCTTTAATTAAAACTTCACCCAGGCATTTCAATTGATTTTATTTCAAAACAAGGTTTTCTTTATAAAACCAAAGGATGCCAAGATGGGGATGGGATGGGAGGAGATACAAATTGTTTCTTGTTCACCAGCCTTAATGTAATGTAGCCAGGAAAAATGCCTCGTGTATGGTCAAACAGAGCCCGAGACGGAGTTGAAATCATCAACGTGTCAGAAAGTTTTCTTCTCTGGACGGGGTTGTTTTTGACAGTAAATTCATGTCACATACATACAAGTTGATTTTTAAGGGGGAAAATAAAATGATAGGTTTGAGTTTTCATTTTGTTTGATTTTTCCACTCGATTTATTTTGTTCCCGTGTGTGCGTGGGGAGGGGTGGGGAGGAAAAGGCAAGGGGGGATGTTTCCCCCTTGTTCCAGGAACTCCTGAGGAGAAAAACAAATGTCATAACCCTGTTTATCCTTGCAAAAAGAATAAAAGGTTTCAAGTGGTTTCAACCCTAGCATCTGACAACTCTTCATCCTGTAAACTTTTAGTGTTTTAGAAGAAGAGATGCGATCATATTATTCATTCTCTGTATTCCTGTAAACTCCTAATTAAACCAAATGGACTTCTGCCTTATAGACTCTCTTTAATGTCTGATATTTGAACATATACAAAGCCAGGAGTTGAAGCCATTAGAGGAAGTTTTAACAAAGCCCTGAATTTCCTTTCTTCTTTATAATCCCCAGGGCAAGTATGAGGAAAAGAGTAATCTGATATACTGGTATGTTTGTCTACCCTGAGGAAATGGAATATAATTTTCTATAGGCAATGTTATAAATGGCCATTGATTTCTAGGTCATCCCATGAAAAACTTATTTAAGCAGTGATACTGATGAAACCTTAGTGGGTTCTGATTCATTCTGGTTTTCAAAGCTTTTGTGGGATGTCTTAACAATTTAACCACCATTGATAGACAGTGTTTTCATGGGAAAATACATCCTGAAAGAGTTAACAAAAGAAAAACTTGAAACATACTGACTGAGTTTGTAAGAAAAGATGCCACCTGTTTACACAGACACCGTCTTTGAAGTCACCTTTCAGTCATTTTACCCCCCCCCCTTTTTTTTGTCTTCCTACCAAAATTGCCCTAGGCTGAGTGCTGTATGGAGACTCCTCTGTCATCCTTCCGTTCACCAGGAAGGATAGGCAGAGTGAGCCTGCGTCATGGAACATGGCTTTCTGCTCTCCCTGATCACACTTTACACTCAAGCAATACAGAGCCACTCCCGCATCCTTTCGAACAATAGGCACATTCCCCTTTTTTTGCCTGGAAGGTCTGTCCTTTTCTTGTCCACCCGGCCCCTGGTGTACCTCCTGTGAGAAGCTCCCCTGACTTGCCTAGGTGGGCCGGAGCTCTGCGCTCTCCAGACATCCTCCCCTTGAACAGCTGCTTGTGATAGCTTACAAGTTTGAGGTCCCAGTGGGCTATCAGTACCTTGAAGGCAAGGACCAAACGTTGTGTTTTTCTGTTTACTGCCTACTGCTGACACAGTAAGCACGATCAAGGAGTCACGGATAAATGAAATTTAAAAACACTCCACTCCTTCGTTCTAATTACCCCTTCATGTCCACCCTATTCTTTCACAAGGCAATCATATACAAATATCTCTCTGCCTTTTACAAAAGCAAATAGCTCAAATGGAGCTAAAGATATAAGGAGAAAAAAAAAAAGAAAGAAACAGAAGTTGAAAGGAAAACAAAAAAAACACAAAACACCAAAAACCTAAAGAACCAACCAAACAAAAAACCAAGCATCTGAGACACATTCCATAGATAATCCTTATCTAAACATTGGTGAGTGAACTACTGAGTCAAGGTTGAGGCTGAAAACAGTTGCTGCATGCAGCACTAACCTTACGGGCCGGAAGTGAGGGGCACCTAGGGCCAGGAGGAGAGTGTTATGTATGAAGGTCCTCAAGAGCTGGGTGGGATATTATGACCTGACTGCAAAGATGGACCTGGTGTTTCTGGTCATCCTACTGGACACTAGCCAGCAGAGGGTAGCCACAAATATTGCATGCATTCCCCTCACTCCCCCTTTCCTTACTCTTGTAATGTTTTCCTTCTCTTCCAGATAAATATGAAATTGGTGATTCTTGTCGCCAGAGCTAGAATATGGCAGGTGGTGGGTGTAGTAATTCTTAGTAACCTGTGGGAATCTTTTTGGATGTTTTAATTTGGTACTTGAAGCTAGGGAACACGGGTTGAGCTCAGTTGGAAAAATGATTATGCACTTAGAACTAACTTTGAAGAAGCAGTATTATATGCCAAATGCTCTGCTAAGTGATTCACATGCATTAGCATATTTAATCATCACGAAAAAAGAGGATGTACTATTTTATCAGTCCTGTTTTCTAGGCAAAAAATCCAAAACATTAGTTAATTTAAGCAACCTGCAGAGCTGGGAATCAAAATGACACTTATTCTTATTCTCATGTGTTATATAAGCTCCCCCGCGGAACTTGCCCAGTTTCAAGCAAAGTGCCGTGCTTGGGTGAGCTTGATCTGTTGGGGTGTGGGATCCAACCTGGCTTCAACCAGAGAGAGGGTCCTAGGGAAAGAATGGGCACAGAAAGAAATGGAAAGGAAAAAACACTGTAGAAGTGGCAATCTAAATCATAGTTTGAAAATTATATTTATGATACTAAAAGAAACTATGATACAACTCAATATTTATAGGGTTTTTGGGTAAGCAATACAGTCCATTTCCTTAACTTTTCCTCTCTGATATCCATGATTGTTAATCTCACACGTTTGATTTACTTAAATTGTCTCATCACTGTCTCCATGTGAATGGATGGGGAAAGTCTATTTATAGCAGCAAAGCCCTATCTAGCCACAAGATGAATCCCATCATAACTCTTGAAGATTTTGGTTCAGATTGGCATGGACTGGGAGATAAATGTTAGGAGATTTGTGAGGAACAAATTCAAGATATTTTTAGTTGACTCTGGGGAATGCTTCTGAGTGTTGACAGTGCCACCATGCCTTGTGCTACCACAGGAGGTAAAGGTATTTAGGACTCGATGCCCCCCTTCACAGGGCTCTCACACCCAGCTTGGAAAACAGACGTGAATCAACCACCATGGTGCAATATGATACATCCTATCTGAAGAGCTTCTGTAAAGTACTGAGGAAATAGTGAAAAACAGCTTTTTGGGTCTCTCCATATACAATGGCTTGCCTTATGGATTAATGCTTAAGATTTGCCTGGTGTTCTTTTGAGTTCAGACTCACCATGAAATAATGGATAACTTAGACGGTTAGTTTTGAAATGAGGTATGAAAACAGTTGCATCCTTTGGTAGAGGAAGATGCAGAATTCTGACATCTACTCACTAAAATGTTGAGGGTAGAAAGCAGTGACATAATGCTGCTATCATCGGTCCGTTGGCAATGAATACTCATCTCCTGAAGGCTTACTGCATAGGATACCCCAGTAGCCATTATGGAACAATAGGTAAGCAGTTGGGAAAAAAAATCAAATCCATCTATTCCATTATAGGGAATACATCTTCAGGCAGAATACTTTAATTTTATAGCTAGAGATAGCTGAAGAAAACATCTAGATTAACTCTGTCACTTTATAGATGAGGGAACTGAGGCCTAGTGGTAAAACATGATGACTTTTTTTTGAATAGTCTACATCTAATTAATGGCAGATCTGGGACCAAAGCTCACAGAAGACAGGTAGGCAACACAGTGAGTAGCTCACCTGTGAACACTGGAGTCAGACGGTGTGGGCTCCAGTCCCATCTCCACCACAGACTTGCTGGGTTGTCTTAAGTAAGTTATTTAAACACTCTGACTTTCAGGGTCTTCATCTGTAAAGTGGGAATAGTACTACAGTATCTGTCATATATAAAGTGAAAGAATACATGCAAAACAGTAATTAAGATGAAAAGAGATAATGCATATTAACCAGGGACATAAGAAGAGCTTGATAAATGTTCATTATTAGAACTCATGTGTCCCCATTTCTACATTAGTATTCTTCCTGCCCCAACAGTAAAAATAGAGTTTTGTTCATTTTTGTTTCTTTAACACAGAAAGAAGTCTGTGTTTCAGATCCGTATGCTCATATGGTGTTCCCATCCTGCCTTACATCTTTTCTTTCAGGGCCAAGGAGATTAAGCTCAAGTTGGGAATTCTCCTCCAGAAGCCAGACTCAGCAGTCGACCTTGTCATTCCATACAATGAGAAGCCGGAGAAACCAGCCAAGACCCAGAAGTGAGTCATGAGTATGGATTCCACTCTTTTTCTTCCAGAGGATGGCTATTTCTGAAGTGTATGGTTCCATCCCTCATCTGGAGAGCTCTCCACTCTCGATTACTCATTGAAGATCATAAGATCCCTCAGAGACTTGGTTTGTAAATGAGCATTTTTTACTCTCCTATGTCTGGAACATAATATGGGATACCGTCAGGTTACTTAAAAAATAAAGAGAAAGCCCTGCCTTGGGACCTCATCTGAGAGACAGACCATACCTCATAAAATGGCACCAGCCTCCTCCTCAATTATTTACCACACAAAGTATGACAAAAAATACCTATTCACCTGCTGCCTAGGTGTCAGGAAACCGCTCCTGACCGGGTTACTTAAGATCACTGGATGCTCACCTGCTAAGGAAGGAGCCAAGGCTGCTTCCTCAGCAGGAAGATAGAAATGGAAACATTTCCCTCAGGAAGATGCTAAGACCAAGGCAGACAATTTAAGCCTAATTTAGCTTCTTCTCCAAAATGTGATTCCTTCAGGGTCCAATAGAGGAACAGAAGACTGTTCCTTGACAGAGGAATGAATTCTTGCCCAACCAACTCTATTTAATGTATATGAAGCATTTTTAACCCCAATCCATAAATTAGTATTCCTGACTGGACTTCCGTAGTTCTCTCTCCCTTCTCCCCTACCTTCGCACACGTATTTCCATCAATTTAGGCATGGAGCAAAACTGTAATTCTACAGAGTCAAGCTGTTCCAGCAGGGAGTGCACCTCCCCGTTTGCACAGACTCTGCTTTGACTTGGTAACACTCCCCACAGCTCCCACACAGCTTCTCACCGTTGCCCCAGCTACGTGGCCAGTCCTTGCCCACCCCCCCAGACACCCTCCATCTTCCCCTTCAAACATTTTCATGGGCATGAAAATCAAGAAAGGAGAGTGGGAAGAAGAAAAGCCAAATGTACTGGAATTCCTTCACTCTGCTATCTGAAAGCTTCGAGGAGATGACAGAAGGGCGGTAAAAACACAGGAATCCCTTTTAACCTCCGTTTCTTTTTTAAATTTGACATCTGTATAAACTGGCCAATCTTCTCTTGGTCCAAATGACCTTCAGCTTAATATAGCTGGATTGGTTGGGAGATAAAAAGACGGATTCTTCTTTTTAAATCTTTTTCCATCAACCTAAGTGGATAGTTCCATTCTCCTCTTATTACTTCAAAGTGATTCCCCAACTGGAAGTGAGGCATAATTGAGTTTGGTGCATTTAGAAAAAAGAAGCTAATTCAGTGGGGAGAGGCAGGCAACAGGCACTGGTGGGGAATAAGAACCACATTTCATAGCAGTAACAGATCAAAAAAATCTATTTTGAAGTAAACAATGTGGTGGTTATGGATCTGTAGGAATTCACTTTAAAAAATAGGGTACTACATTTCCTCCTTTGATTCTCTGCTTTAATGTTCCACACAGACACTTGAGCGATTTGGCTTAAAGGGATTCGGACAGAAGCAGTTTGGAAGGAAAGCTGAGGCTGATATTTATTGGATGATTTTCTTCTCTTGTCTTCTATCTCCTTTCTTCTTCCAAGAGTTAGTTTGAATTGTTTTGGAAAAAAAAAAATCCTTCATATCCGTAGAGAACGTGTTTCTCTACTGCATTTGTCAGTGACCACTACAAGCCTTTCCCACCCTCTTCCAAGCCCCTAAACCCGTTCCATCTCCTCGGGTTTAGCAAATGTCCACGTCTTTTAACTAACAGGAAAAGACTGTGTTCTGTATGAGCTCAATCAATCTCTCTTCTCCCCACTTAAAAATTCTCTGTATTTTTGTACCCGTGTTCTTCTCTCAGAGAAGAAAATAAACCTTCTCCAGACTGAAGGTATTTTTAACCCTCTCATCCCTTAAAAAAAAAGCAATCCCTTTTTTAAAAAGCATTTTGTGAGGCACCTGGGTGGCTCAGTCGGTTACGATTCCGACTCTTATTTTCGGCTCAGGTCATGATCTCAGGGTCAGGAGATCAAGCCCCATGTCAGGCTCTGTGTCAGGCTCTGTTGCTGGGCATGGAACCTGCCTAAGATTCTCTCCCTCCCTCTCCCTCCACCCCTCCCGTCCCCCTCTCAAAAAAAGCATTTTCTATTTTTTAAATGGTTTTATTTTTCTCATTAGAAAAACAGAAGTCAAAAAAAAAAACAAAACAAAAACAGAAAAGTGTTGCCTATATCCCTACCACCCATAGCCAGGATCTGTTATCATCTTAGTATTCTTAATTGCTCTTCTCCCTCTGAGCCCATGTTCCACTCTGAAAAAAACTCTCTCGGCCCCGCCCTTCTACTCCTCTCCCTTTCTCTTGCTTTCATCAGGGAGTTCTAGACGTAGAACGTGTCAATCAAGAAGAGACTGTAAAACAACCAAAGCATCTATTTGGGGTCTTAGGGATGGCAATCTAGGAGACACAGAGTCGACCAAAATAAAAAATGGGTTCCCAATAGCCAGCGTGAAGTGCAGGCTTATAAAGGCAAAACCCACAAGGTTACATAACATGCTTTGGAAGAATTGTGATTGATGCAAGCAGACTTCTAACTGTCTAATGCACGGTTGGCTGCTCAGCTGACAGGTATTACATTATCTCTATCTCAGTCCGGAGCAGAAGGATTGCTCCAGGAAGTGGTCCAGGTGTTACTGGCAAGCGTCAGTTTGGAGATGGGCCCCGCTTCCTCAACATCTGCTCAACTCTATTCTGAGTGACTCTCAGTGATGCTTGCTTGTTTTTGAATCTTCTTTCACAAAAGCTGCTGCTTCCAGGATCTTCTCTTCACTCTTGCTTATCCGGTTTAGACCTTACTACCCATACGACCCTCTCTAAAGCCTCACTTTGACCCATTGCCAGAGTTTGTCTGCTCAACGGTTGGCCTCCTGAAAACTATCTTCCTTCACTTCTAACCCTGCCTTCTCCTCTCTCTCTCAGGATTCCCACTTTTGCCTACCCTCTCCATGTGTGAGCATTCCCCAAGGCTGTGCTCTAGGTCCTCATAATGAGTAATAAACAAATCAGCACACCACATAAATTTAGTTTGCAAAAACTGTTACCATGGCTTGTCATAGAATCAGTTGAGAAATTCTCAGGAGCTGATATAGATAGTTTAGTTTATATAGTTTAGTTCTTATAGTTTATTTTATATCCTAGAGGTTCCTTTGCCCCCTGCCTATGCCACTAATTTTTAACCACATTTTGTTGGTGGTGTTTTAACTTTTTAACTCTAGAATGACCTCCACACATAAGCAGAACCCAGCCATACACAGGGGAGAACAGTTACCAAGCGTTCCCACACCCGTACTCTCACCGGGTGAACAGCTGAGCGAGCCTGACTGCCGGGATTACAGTTGTATGTACAATGTTTGGCCCACACAGAGACAACGAAAAGTGGCAGGTTTTTTTATCTGCATCCCCATCCTCGGCGCCCAGGTCACTGTTGGCCATGGGGTAAGGGCTTAACAAATGTCCATGAATGGACTTGAGCAGAGTCATGACCATATTGCCCTGTGGGAAAGGAAGGGAGAGCAGAGCGGGCACATAAGTACCAATAAATAACTGGGATTTCATTTTCCTTGTCAAGAAGAAAAGCATGTGAAAACATTACCAGAAGTGTTTAAACGTGTGCCAGGCACTGTGTAGATTTAAAAACAAAAACAAAACAAAACAAAACAAGGAAAGGAAACCACTGGTGTTTCGAGAGGTTAAAATACTTTCTCATGGTTACAGTTTAGGAAGTGTCAGAGTTGCCAACAGTTGGAGTAATGGTTCATGGGGCTAAGATATTCGAAATGGAAGTTTCAGGTCATTTATGGCTTTCATCAACCAGACTAACTATGGGCACACGGAATCATCATGAGTGTTTGCATTTGACGCATGCTTATTGCAGTACAGATTAGTGCTGCAGGGGGTGCGCCATCGGACAGGTGGAAGGAGAGAAATTCTCCATGACCGACAAACTCTACCTTTAGGCAGTGAGCTCATTGTTGCCATGAAAGAGATTCGACAAGTATATTGGTAAGGGTATAGTAAAGAGAGAGAACACGTCCAGTCAAGATGGTCACTTCCTGGACCAGCTGGCATTTACACCGGGCATTATAAAACACACAGTTAATCATCTCTATAAATGTTTATTTTGTCTTTCACGTGAACTGGCTTCCTCCCCCTCTCCCCACACCCACACAGAGAGTCCGTGCCCACTCTCTGTGGTCAGCGATGACCTTGCAAACCAGGGCACTTATTGGCCATTTAGATCTGCATCTATCTTGTTTCCAAAGAAGTCAGACTTAATGAGGGCTGGCAAATTCTGAGAATCAGGACAGGATGAACCTCTGCTACCTCCTAGGCTGGTAATCGGAACACTGGGCTTTGTGCTGTGGGGCATGCGTCCTGCTCAACTGTGTCCTTGAATCAATTTGGACTAATTTAACCCCCAGGCGGACTCTGCACATGTCCTTTTCAGGAATTTAATCTTGGCTGTGATGTACTGCTGCTATTGATCATTAGTCTGGTTCTAACAAGACCATTTGGGACAAATCGGGTCTGGTAGAACGCTAAAGTTGGGTGCAACTGCTTATGTCATTTCTTCTTCCTGTGCTCCTCTATACCAACCAGAAGAAAAGAGGGGGAAAGAAGGTGATTTCATTTTATGAGAATATTTATAAAATCAGAAAGAGATTTGGTGAGTGAGCCAGGCCTTCTCCTTGCTCTGTTTCTTTTGTCCAATTATTTAATGTCTTACTGTTTCTGTCAACAATCGATAGAGCCTTGGTGCGTGTCTATTATATGCAGAACACTGAACCTGCTGTAGTGAAGAAATTAAGATGTGTAAGCCCTGAATGCTAAAAATGTAGATATGAAATAATATATACATAGGAAGAGTTCTCAGTATGAGGTAATAAAGAAGAGCCAAAAGGAGTTACGACCTCTAGAAAACAAGTCCTTTTCTGGTTAGACATAAAATGAGGCAGAAAAATATAAGGACATACTTGCAATCCCTTCCTCATGTCATTTCTCATTCCTGTGCTCCTTTATACTAACCAGAAGAAAATGGGGGAGTGAAGGTTGTTCACTTATTAAAAATAAATTTCCGAGGAATTGGTGTGGAGCACTTGATCAATGACACCTGTGTTTCCAGCCAAGAAAACAGAAACTATGTGAGATTTTTTTCACCATGTTTAGTCTTCAAATAGTAAAAACATAAAGCTTTATGAAAAGCCAAATAATTAAGACTCCAAATCTGTACATATTCTGCAATGAAGACCATGGAAGTGAAGGCAATATTCACAGCACTTAAGCCAAAAAAAAATCAACTGCCATTTTGGACTCCTTACATAAAATAAAAGACAGCACAGTGAAAAGTGAAATCAGCAATTGTCTTACCAACCTCAGCTGCTACCCTGAATGCTTAAAGCCCCAATATATTATTTAAAAACAAACACACACACACACACGCACACACACACACACACACACACACACACAGAAGCAGGAACGTTCCTGGACTGTCTGAAGAGAAGATAAAAAAAAAAGGGAAGAGCTAAGGAAGTTCCAATTTAGGAAAAACACCTTCATTGGCCTTAATATTCTAATACATGCCTTGTTAGTCTCTTGATTTGACAAGGAAGAACTCACATCACAATGCAAGAGTTAGAGCAGGGGAGCCCCAGGAGAGCACAGTCAGCCATTTTTCCCAGACAACAGCCGCCTGCCTTGACACAATCCTGCTGTGAGAGAAGAATTGGTGGTTATAACGAGATAACAGCAGGGTTTATGTATATATAAATGTTAAAACAAAGACAACCTAAGGGTAATTATGTGTTGGCTATTACCTTCTCCTTTTGAGGCAGCATCTAGAGCATTTATGTACAACATTCTCATTCATGATGTATAACCACTTTTCTTCTCAGAAAGAGAAAACCTTTTAAAAATCAGTATCCTATCCTAACTGGGCAGGAAAAAATGCACCCAGATTTTTAAAAATGTAGATGTACCATGATCACATTTCCACCATGAGGCAGCATCTCACATTCCATCTTCCACCAGCCTTAATGATGGCAATAGGACGTGGAATCAAATGCCCTTTGCTGATTAAATTGGGCAGCTAAAGGGGAGCACTGGTGAGACAGAGAACATGAGTTCAATCCCTATAATGGGGCAACTGGATTTCACTTTGTTACATTTGGGAAAAAAGATCACAATTGGAGATACTGTCATGAGATATACAAGAATGTCAAGACACAGCTTCATGACAAATAGACTTTACTTCTAAAAAGAGAGAGACACAAACAGATTGTTCAAGAGGAGATGAAAATACACAATATTGAGGTGACTGCGTGGTTCAGTTTGGTTAGGTGTCTGCCTTTGGCTCAGTTCACAATCCCAGTGTCCTGGGATCGAACCCCACAGGGAGCCTGTTTCTCCCTCTCCCTCTGACTTTCCCCTCCACTCGTGCTCTTGCTCTCTTGCTCTCTCTCTCAAATAAATAAGTAAATCTTAAAAAAAAGAAAATAAACAATATTGGTGTGTGAAAGCAAATCCAGCCCACCAAACCTGATTGTCAGAAAGAAAATAAGTCAAACTCCCTTGTCCTGAGGATGGGTCATTGGGTATATCATTTCTAAGAAAAGCAGGTCCAAGACATTGTCAGTGAATGTGGTTAATCCCCTTCTCATGGCTGTTGTCTTTTTTTTTTTTTCCTGAATTCTTGATTTAGACCCACCCTGGATGAGGCCCTGCAGTGGCGTGACTCCTTGGACAAGCTCCTGCAGAACAACTGTAAGCTGGAATTGTCTTTTGTAAAAGGTCAGGGGAGGGAGAGAGGCAAAAAAATCACCTTTGTATTACCTGTGTCCTTCTTCTCCAATTTTGACATTTCTTCAGTTTTTCAAAGTGATCTCAGCAAGGGAAGAATGCCAAGGGGGGGTGGTTATCCAGCTCACAAAAAGAGGAAGGTCTACTACACTGGAAGAGAATGTGAAAATAAACTGTCCTGAGGACTCAGGATTGCACATTGTTTTCCCATCTGTCCTACTTACTCATGTGGCTTGACCTGGGTGCTTCTTAATGTTTTCATCAGTAAAAGAGAGATACTGCCTTTTCCAGCTCAGCCTCCTAATGGCTTGACAAGGATTGGCTAGAGCCATGTGCAGATCACTGGATTAGGAAGCACAGTGGGGTAGTATGTCCCAGTCCAAGCTGCTATTAACTGTTTTTGTGGCCCGACATGGGTTGTTCTCTCCCCCAGCCTTGGTTTCCTCTTCTGGTGCTTGACTTTATATCTTTATTCAAGACACAACAAAATGCCAGAAAGAACCCATTTCCAAGCTAATACCAATACACCTGAGCACTACTTACCTGTCCCCTAATGCAAATCCTTACCGATTCCCAAGGCCTATGGTTTCAAGTTCAAGTTTCCAATGTTTAAGATGCTCCACAATAACTAGATGGTTGGTCTGCAGTCACACTGAAGCATTCTCCCCTCCCTTGGGAATTTCTGCATGCAATCCCTTTGGTTGGAATACTTTGTATTCATATCTCTATCCGTTGAAATTCTTCCTCTCCTATAAAAGTGAATCTAAATACTAAATGCCTAGTCTTCCTTGGCCATCCAGAATGATCTCCCTCTGAGCTTCCAGAGCCTTTGTCTGCACAACTTTTCTCCTGCTTAATACTTGCTACCATGTACTTTTTCATAGGTGTCTTCCTCCTATGATAGATTATAAACTCAGTGACTCAATCTTTTGATCTGAATAATATCCCAATAAGAAGTACACAATATAGGGAGAATAAATTTGTCGAATAGTTCATTTTAAGAATATGATTCAATTTAAGATACTCAACCCACATTTCTCCATCTTCACCCCAAGAATGGCATATGAAACTTTGTTAGATACTTTGCAAAAATAAGGATTTAAAAAATATTTATCACAGGAGAATCATGATCAGTAGGCCCAGAGTAGATAACAAAGAACATATGTTGAATTATATATGAAAGTTTTTTTATTTGTCTTGTTTTTGGTAGGGAAGCTTCTGTTTAGAATCATTATTTTATATTTGGAGGCAGAACAGCCAAACCTCGACTTCATAACTTTCTTAATCTTATCTACTTTTGATTCTCTTTTTATTGTTTGTGCTAAACAAAATACCCTGCCCTGACACATACAAGGTGTTCAGTAAATGTTTGTTGACTTAATGTGTGAATGAATGAATTCATTCATTCATTTGCTGGACCCAGAAATCCCATGAGCTCAACCAAGAGAAAAAAATATATGTTTATCAATTGACTTATTTCTTGTCTTACACAATGGTTTTGGGGCCAATTGCAACCTGACAGATGGTATATTGATACATTATGAATCCTAAGTCTCCTGGGTATAGGTATATCTTGCTATGGTCAAGAAATCCTGAGAATTAGCAGAATTATTTTCATGTTTGCAAAACCGCTAAGGAGAAGGATATATATTTGTGTGCCCATATACAATCCTTTTCAGTCACACTAATCCTTTGGGCCACATGTTTATATGTTTCAGGCTTGTAGGAGACAGGGAGCTATTGGTATAAGAAAGATAGGGGTAGAAGTTAAGTCAGAGGCAGTTAGTGTTAACACCTTAGCATTTGTTGAGGGACTGAAGTCTTTCAGGTTGCAAATAAATGATTACCATGGTATGACCTTAAGGCCTGAGACTCTCACAGTAATGTTTTCTACTTCTCAGTGTGGAAAATATATATTCACGTGTGTGTTTGTGTAAATATCTGTATGTAATATTCACATTTCACTTAATCATATATATTTAAAAATTACATATGCATAGATATGTGTGTTATATAGTATGTATCTGTGTATATGTGTGTCCATAAAATCTTTTCATTAAAGATTTATTTATTTATTTTAGAGACTGAGAGAGTGTCCATATAATCTTAAGTTCTACATAATTTTCCTACTAAGTAATTAACATTTTTAAGACTTGGGCAATCGATTTCCCCGAGTGATAAATGGAAAAGAATTTGATAATCATTCAGGTCAAAATTCTTCCTTTGAAAGGGTATCTCTATATTCAAACTAGCTCAAGTGAAAAAGAGGGGTTCTGGTATGAATAGAGAAATCTCACGGAAACAAAAGAGAGCCACACCCTAAGAGAGGGGATGCCATTAGTGAATAAGATAGCCTCTTTCTCTCCAAGTCTAGTCCTCTGCTCTTACTATCTCTCTGTCTCTCTCTTCCTCTTTATTTTCCCACTTCCCTCTCTGCCTCTGCTTCTCTCTATGACTCCCTCTCTTGTTCTGTGTCTCTCTCTTACCACGTTGTCTTTGCTCTCTGCTTCTCTCTGTCTAGCTATCCCTAGAGAGGGACTAATGGAATGATTGTCACGCCCACATGATTCTACCCCGGCACCATCAACCTTCAGAAACAACGTTTGACTTATTCTCCCAAACACCAGCTATTGTGCCTCATGAATAAATTTAAGCCAAACTTCAGCAACTTGGTTCTCATGAGATGTTTTTATTTGACTCTGCTAAAACTAATGGTCTATAATCAGAAATCTCTAACATTAGCTATGATTGATGCAAAATAGGTAACAAAGAAAGATACATTTGAGAAATCTATGCATTTGAAACACCACAATCTCTTCTTCATGTTTGATTGGATAAATGAAGTCACTTAACCTTGAGGAGTGGCACCTTAGTTAATTTATAAAGAATATTTGTAGGATATTGACTCACAATTGATAGATTTCCCAAATATTCCTTAAATCCACATTTTTCTTGAGTGGAAATGAAATCCATTGGTACCTAACCTCTTAAAAAGAGGACAATTAAGGGGCTACTCAATCTTTTCTTTTCCAGCTAACAAGATTTCTCTTATCTTTCCTCATTTAAAAAATCATTTTTAATCCTCCAGTGTATTTGACTCTGTTTTGAAAGTACGTCAATTTCTTACATTTTGTGTTCAATTCTGTAGGTGAGGCCATCTGTTTTCATTAGGTCCATGGGACAAATAACCAGTTTGTTGTTCATTAAATATAAAAACTGATCGCACATGTGAGCTTAAATAAGACAGTGACATTAAATTTCTCCACGTGACTGTCTTTAAGGGCAGAAGAGGAATGAAACACAATCTAATAGCAGCAAAGATTTTATGTGAATTCTTTTTTTCCCAGGAGCTCCAAAAGGTCAGAATATTTCCTGAGATACCCTTGAGATTTGGACTCTTCCATGGAGGATCGAAGAGCCTGGATCTAGCCTTCTCTCTCTCTCTTTTTTTCCTATCTTTGCATTCGCCTTCTGCTTCTCACTCTTTGGTTTCCAATATTCTCCCTTCTCTTTTCTGGCTCATCTTTGTTCCTCATCTTCCTGGCAGCCACAAATTTCTTTAAAGCAATAATGATAATAATATAAGCAAGAGTTTCTGTGTATTATTCACCATGTACCAGGCACTGTCCAAAGCACTTTGCATGTATTGGTTTATTTAATGAGTATAATAATTTTAGGACGTGGGTACAATAACAATTTCCATTTTTCAGAAAAGCAAACAGAGGTTAGGTAACTTGCTTAGGAAACAAAACATTAGAGTGGTAGCAGAAAATTTATTTTTCTCCTAAGTTTGTGTTCTTCGGTTCTGTGACTTGGAAGCAAATGCTTCCCTTAATGGGCCTTATTTAGTTCATCACGAATCTATTAAATGTTAAGCACAGGGGTACCTGGGTGGCTCAGTTGGTTAAATGTCCGACTCTTGATTTCAGTTCAGGTCATGATCTCAGGGTCATGAGCCCCGCGTTGGGCTCCACGCTGAGCGTGGAGCCTGTTTGAGATTCTGTCTCTCTCTCTCCCTCTCCCCCTCCCATTGCCCCCCTCTACCCACTCATACTCACTCTCTTTCTCTCTTAAAAAAAAAAAAACATTAGGACAGATTTAGGCTAGGAGGTGGGATATGAAAGAGAGGCAAAAGTAAATGAAACTCAAACCTTGAACTCAAAGAATTCACAGCCTCTTGGAGAAGACCAGCATGTAAGCAAGAGTTGTAACAAAAGAACAAAGTGAGCTCTTCCCTCATGATAATAAAAATCTTCAAGAGCAAGTGGAGGGTAGTATACCTCCCATATGAGGCAACATTTGAGTTGGGTTTTAGATGGTGATAAAGATTAATTTTAAATTAGGCATGAAGAGTAACGATGAAAGCCAGTACTTACTGAGTGAGCTATCATGTTCAATACCATACAAGAGCTTTACATGAATTACTGAATCCTTACAACAACCTTATCAGGTGGGTTCCATGATTATATCCATTCAACGAATGAAGCAACAGAGGCTCAGAAAGGGTGAAAAACTTGCCCGAGTTACTGTAGCTATGTGTTGTGCCAAGATCCACCCCAGGCAGCCTTGACTCCAGAGCCCATGCTCTGAACCAGTAAGTTATGTCCATTCATTAAATTTTACTATCTTTCCTCTAGGAGAAGGGATTTATTCTAATCCCGTTTTCAATATTTTTATTATACTAAACTGACTTGGCTTTGTCTAACCCTCTTTTTATTTTCATAGGAAAATATAGCTGGCTTCATTTTGTTCTTTGGTAGGACTGCTACGCTATTTTGCTTGGATGTCAAAAGTGACACCATTCATTAGAGCCAGCTCTGGAACTATAATTTGGGCCACAACCCAGACTACTGCCACAAGACCAGAGGTCAGGTGGGCTTCCTCTGCTGCCTCGGTAGTATACACCTGGAGAGATGTGTTGACAAGTATCCTGAGGCTCTGCCCAGGCTCAGCAGGGAAGAATGAGGGGATTTATAGGGATGTGTGCTGGGGGCTCAACTGGGGAGTGGAGTGGGATGGCAGTGGTGTGGGCCAGAGAAGATGTGTGTGTTCTTTGCAGAATAAAGACCTTCCTCCTGGAGTCGATTTGGCTGTGACCCAAGAGGACTTCCTCAGGGGTTATGGGAATTGAACAGCGAGTATTGGGGAATGGACCAATAGAAACTCAGAGGCTAAGGAGGAGAAGGTATCTGGAGAGTGACTTGTGAGTCCTACTAAGGGGCCATCCAGCGAATTCTCAAAAGCCAGTTGAGAGAGAGAATAGCTTTAAGCATCTCCTAGACCAATAGAGTATAAAGCCATTATATGAGTCTCTGTTCAAAATGTGTGCACTGATAAAAAATCTTGAAATAATATTGTGGAATTCAATGAGAGTGATAAAGCCAGTACCCAGGAAATGGACTTACTTCACTGTAAAGTTATTTTCCAAGCCCCCCCCCGCCCCCACCCACCCCAGATGCCTGGTAAATGTTAACATTGTTCTGGCGTCCTGGCATGTGTCCTCAGGTCATAAATAACAATGCTTGGGAGGACTGGGATTTTATCTGTACCTTTAGATGTGGAATGGGTGATTCAGAGTGACTGATGGGTTGTGGGGACGTGGGCCAGATGAGAGTAAATTGGCCACAGACTTATTCTGTGAAGTTATAGTTTCCTCCATGGTTTTGTGTGGATTCTCATAAGACTTCATTCCTGCTGTTATTTTCAGGCAGCAAAAAGTGCCTGGGCATCTTTCCATTGCCACAGAGACAATCTGACTCCTTTTGTTTAAGACACTGAAAACTTTAACCATGACAGAGATCTAGGCCTTCTTTTAGCATATATATTGACTCCCGTGTCACTAAATTGTAACAAATGGTGCTAGAAATATAGTAAAATCCTTAGTTAAAAAAAAATATATATATATATATGGGCAGGGAGAGAGGGAAAACACACCTGATTTTATCCAGGCACATGTTATCAAACAGTTTTATAGTAATTCTGCTAGCTAGGTTTCTAGAGCAAATTGTTTATCATGCCTACCATTGCCCCCAGATGTATTTTTAGATGTTAATCAATAAAAAAAAAATTTTTAGGTGAAGTACAAAAAGAGGGGATTAAAATGCAAAGTGTTTTGTTTGCAGCCAGAAATTGCTGGTGATCTAACCCAAGTTAATTATCACCTACCCATTCTGTTTCTTTAGAATTGAATGTGGTTGCAGGGGACTGTGAGGGGCAAGCAGACAATAAAAATGTATTGAAGGTAAACCGAAAAAAAAAAAAAAAGACAACCCTAGATGCTGTATGTGCGCCATATGAAATCCATGCATCCGGTGAGGATGAATGAATGGAAGCTGAGAGTCTTTTAAAAGCAGTACAGAGAAATAGTTGAGGGAAAGGCCAGTTGACTGAAATGAGGTCAAAGGAAATGAATTCAGTTCATGTATGTATTCCCCAAAGAGAATGAATGGCAAACAAGTGCTTCCTGATGGGGATCAAGTTAGAGCGACCCTGGACCCCGATGTACTTACTGGTGACAGTCATCCTGGTTCTGCCCCGGGAGGCAAAGTGACATGGAGAGCGGACCAGTGGTTGTAACAGTCTGCAAAACTGGAATTCTTCTCCCCTCCCTTCAGAAATCTACTTTCCTTAGATAGTAAGTGGACATGGGCTCTCTCAACAGATAGGCATTTGTTGGACTTTGGGCTTAAAAAACATATATACCTAGTTTTAAAAACAAGGAGAACATTGAACATACAGAGTGATTTTTCCTTTATTCCTGTCCAGTGCCTTCCTAGATCTTTACCTTGCCTTCTACTCATCTCTCACTGTGGAGATTAAGAAAGACAAAGAAACGCAGGGATCAGACCCAAGAACCCCTAATACACATATTTCTGTATAGACTTATGTATAATATATATTACATGTATGTAAACATATTTTAAAGTAAGCTGAAGTCTGCATGAGCCACAGCACACTGAAAACACAATCACAATCGTTGTAATTGTGTTAAATTTAGTATGTTTTAAAAACTGACCTATGATTGATGGGCAGAGTAAACTCCTCGGCCGCCTGGTAACTTCATTGGGTCCTCTCCCACCCATCCTCACATCTCAAACTGAATGTCCCTTTCTCACGGGGCCTTCCTTAAACTTAAAATGAGCTTAAGACCCTTCTGTTACACTGTGACTATCTTTCATATGGTTTTTCTTTTGTTGTGTCAATGTTTTTTGTGTTTCTTCGTCTTCTTTCTACCTTCCCTGGAATCCATAAGCTCCATTAGGGCAGGAACCATGATGACTTTACTTACCATACTATCATAGTGCCTGGAACATAATATCTGCTCGAAAATCATCTGTAGGAGAAAAAAAAGAAAAGGGCTGTAAGTCATTTGCATGTGATAATCAACATCAGTATTACACTGCCAAACCAAGTTTCAAGTGTATTTTTCTCTTTTTGGTAACTGATAAGTATCCAGATGGTATTCGTGTTCATAGTATTCTTTGATGCTGTATACAGGTAACACTTCCATCCCCAAATACATACTGCCTGGATTTGAATTCCGGCCCTGCCACTTTTACCAGCTGGTTAACTAAGGGCATAGTACTTGACTTCTCTTATCTCCTTTGTAAAATAGGACATTAATAGCACCTGTCTCATAGGTCTATAATGAGAGCAAATAAGCTAACACTTGTAAGGTTCTTATGTAAGTGACAGAAATACATAATAAACGAGCGGAGGCTATACAACAAGATACAGTTTTGTAAACAAGCAAGCAAATGCATAATAAGTGTATGATATATTTTAGATAAATTCATAATACATGTATGTATGTATGCAGGACGTATGTATTTATCCGTCCAACCAAACTTTCCCCTCGCTAGATGGACTTGCCAGCTTCAAAAGTTTCCTGAAGTCTGAATTCAGTGAAGAAAACCTTGAGTTCTGGCTTGCCTGTGAGGACTACAAGAAGATCAAGTCCCCTGCCAAGATGGTTGAGAAGGCAAAGAAAATTTATGAAGAATTCATCCAAACAGAGGCTCCTAAAGAGGTAGGTGTTGATGGGTAGGTGGGTGAGTGTGGCCACCGTTCTCTGAGCTGGGCAGCAGAGAGGAAAGGACCTGGGCTCCTGGCACATCATAAACAGTCAGGTGAATGGACACAGACATCCCGATCCCAGGCCTTCCTCCACGTGTGGCTTCGGACGGGTCCCTAATTAAAATTCTCCCATCCTCGGTCCCCTTCGCTGAAAACATCTCACATACATACATGTGTGTGTACCCAGAGCATTTTAAAACTGCAGCTGTTGGGCAGCTTGCCCGAGCCCTTCTCAGCCGCCTTCTTCTCGTTCAGCTGGGGCAGGGACGTGGCGTTCGTCACGAACAGAGCCGGGTCCCGCAGGGAGCCCAGCATGTACGGGGTGGGTGTCCGTGCATGTCTGTCCCTCCTCCCACCCCATAGCTACTAACAATTGAAGGCAGCCAGTGTAGAAAATTTCTGGAAAATGATTTTTTTAAAAAAATAATATATCATTCCTATGGAGGGATAAAAAGCTTTTTTGACTGGATTACTCCCCCCCCCATACACACACACACACACACACACACACACACACATACACACTACTTCCTCTTCCTTCAGGCCTTTTCTGCCAGCAGGACCCCCTCCCGCACTTCTGAGGGCCCCCGAGGGTAGAGTTGCCAGATTTAGCAACAGAACAAAACTAGAATGCTGAGATAAATTAGAATGTCAGGCATACAGAGGATAATTTTTTAGTATAAGTAGGCCCTGTGCCACGTTTGGAACATACTTACACTAAAAAAAAGTGATTGTTTTTTTTTTTGAAATTCGAATTTCACTCTGGCCCTTATAACCCTGCCCCAGGGGATGGAGCGGGAGCTTGGGTGTGTGGCCCAGGGTTAACGGATGATGATTTTCCCGTCCTGGAATAAGCTAACCCACCTTCTCCTGCCCCCTTGTAGCCAGTGTGGGGAGGGGACAGACCACAGGACCCAGGCCGGGGCCGGCCGGCGGGCGTAGCTGCTCTAGCCGGCCGTGTTTTGTCAGAACCTGATCCAGACGCTAACTTAGCTCCTGATTGCGGTGCCCCATCTGTGCTGTTTGTAGTAGCGCGGCTCCCGCTCGGGGAGGGATGAGAAGGGGCCGTGCAGCCCCAGCCAGCTACTCTTGAAACCCATGCACCCCAGTGGGCAGTTCCAGATTCTAAACCGTATATTTTTTTCATGGTATTGTTAAAACAGTGAGGAAACATTAAAAAAAAAAAAAACCTGCAGCTGTTATTACTTTAAAAATTCTCCAAGTCTTGCATTTTGACCGAAAAATTTACCAGTTCAGGTTGACGCGTAGCAGATGGACCCACATGACACAGTTGCCCAGGCAAGTAGCAATCTCAATTTTCTGTCTGAACATTCACCTCAGCCTCTTCACAGCAGGAACTGGTAGAGAAACACAGTGGCAAAAACTGGAACTAAGATTTTGAAAAGAGAAATGGCCATGCATAGTTCAATACACAGATAATTTGCACACTGCAAATTGTCATTTGATCATATCTAAAAGTAATGCAATAATATTTTCCTGGCTCAGTAAACAGATGAATATTTATCAGAATGATTCATTAGAAGAGGTCTATGCACATAAAAGTAATAGATAAATAGCAGTTATTAGTTGCTGGATACAATGTGTTAGAGTTTTTAAAGACATCCCTTCCTTTTTATTTTAAGACTTATTTATTTATTTGAGGGGGCAGGACAGGCAGAGGGAGAAGGAGAGAGGACCTCAAGCGGACTCCCAACTGAGTGTGGAGCCAGACATGGGGCTCAGTCTCAGGACCCTGACATCATGACCTGAGCCAAAACCAAAAGTCGGTTGCTCGGAGCCACCCAGGTGCCCCAAGACATCCCTTCTTTTAAACATTAAGATTAAGAAAGAGCTTTATACTTCTATGATGTTCAACCATTCTGAGTAGAATTGCCTACCTAGCTCAGTATATACTCAGTGTAAGAGAAGGAAGCAGCATTGCTTTAGTGTGGCAGGAAGAGGAGCAGAATGGGAACAGAGAAACGTACATCACGGCCTGTCCCTCCTGAGTGTTAGTGGGCATGTAACTTGACCTCATTAGGCTCAGAGTCTTCACATGCAGAGGCAGGCCCTGGACGTCAGCTCTGAGGCTGTTCTGTGTCGTCTTCCCCCATGCCTGCAGAAAGCACTCCAGCCCCTCTCACCATGGAAAATCTCACCACAGTCTGAACTCCTCCATCCCGGACCTTGGAGCACAGCTCATGCCCCCTATCCAGCCCATTCTGGCCTGGCACTCCCCCATCAGGCTTTTGTCCCTGACTCTGCCTACAACCACACCAACATCCTCTGAGCCCAGATGGTTTTTCTCAGCACCAAGGACCTCTAGAAGCCCAGGAGAGACCTGGAACATTCTCCAGTGTTCCAATTCAGAACCACAGGCCAATTTGGATTCTGTTTCTTTCTCTTTTACAGCCAGATAGCTTAAGGGTCCTTAAAGCATACAAGATGATAAACAGTGATTTCTCTCAAATCACACTCAGGCACGCCCATGGAGGCTGTACACTGCACAACTCCAAGGGACCATTCACATAGACCCTAAAATGAACAGTGTCCCCAGGACTTGTGCAGTGTGTCTGCACTGCACTCAGGACATAAAACCCACAATGCCTTCCAACACTGCAGTCTACTGGTTAAAAGCTACATTGCTAAGTTTTTGAATCCTCTCTCTAATACTTCCGACCTTGAGCAAATCACATAACATTCTGCTCCTCGGTTGTAAGACATAGATGTCAGAGCTATGAGGTTAAATGGGTTCACCAGCATGGAGCCTGTTAAAGTAACATTCCCAGCAAGGAGCCTGCACAGACGAAGCACTCAATAAACATTAACTGCCATTCTTATTGCTATTCTGTCAAAAGCACAGTTTCCTGGTTTGTTTCAGGAAAGACCAAGTTTCCTTGCTTCTCTGGAGTCATGCACAAGATCCTCGGTCCCAGACAGGATTCCTTTCTCCTCTTCACTCTCTCCATCAGGCATGAAAGCAAACGCTGGGGAAGGAAAGTTGAGAGATTAGGCATCAGGACACTGGATCCAAATTCTGAGTCTTGGATGCAAATAAACGTCTTAACTCTGTGACCTTGAGAAAGCCGCTGAAGCTATACACACACACACACACACACACACACACACACGCACACACACACACACATATGTATTCATAGGGTTGTCGTGAGGATTAGGTACAGTATGCACATATGCATGTACTAGCTGCCGGTGGAGGGTCTCACACCTGGTGAGTGTCTAACACCGCTTGGATCTTCATCTGATTCGTGCATGTATTAAAGTGTCACTTGCCTTACCCCATTGCCTATAAAACAGAAATGATGTTTCTCACTTTTTATTACCCTCTGCCCCTCATGTGTTTTACTGGCAACAAATTCTACTTCCCTCCCCACCCGTCATCAAATCCTGCAACCTGAGCTGACTCATGACCCTGTTTCCTGGCCCACAGGTGAATATTGATCACTTCACAAAGGACATCACCATGAAGAACCTGGTGGAACCTTCCCTGAGCAGCTTTGATGTGGCCCAGAAGAGAATTTATGCCCTGATGGAAAAGGATTCACTGCCTCGCTTTGTGCGCTCTGAGTTTTACCAGGAATTAATCAAGTAGTAATTCAGTTGGGCTATGAGAATCACCCTGTGAGTTACTTCTTTAATAATGCTACATTTTCCAGCAACCTGCATACTTTCCCATAGCAGCTTCGTTCAAAGATAAACAAACAGGGAAAAATCCCAGGGAGTGTTGCTTACTTCTTGTGCAGCACTTTGTTTTGGATGTTTATATGGTCTGAATGCCTTCCTTTCCCGGGGTTCTTCTTCATGTCCCATTCTTAATTAAGTTCTATTCAGTGTATTCTTGTCAAAGCTAATCAGAATCACAGAAAAATTCTGCTGAAGGCAAGCAAATATAAGACAAGAATATGATATCATTGAATGTGGGTCCATTTGGTTTGGGTAATGAATCTCCACCTAAACTGGTCTGAAAAGAATGTGGACGTAGAAAGACCAATTTCAAGTGAGATTAATTGATCTCATTTGTTGTTTTAATTCTGATCCAGGGGCAATCACCCCTCTATTTCTGACTCTGGTTAGTAAAAGATAAAATGAATTTTATGAGGCAGCCATTATTTGATTTTTTAAAGCAAATACATTATGTAAAATATCAATTTTCCCTCTAGAGCGTCTTTGTGTTGGCTGGAGATCATTAACAAGAGATATAACCATGAATGTTACAAAATAGATCTGAACACAATCCATATTGATTCTTTCCTTATACCTCTCTCATATTCCCCTCTACCCAGTTACCATATTCTGTATTAAATCAATGACCTGGCAATGGAGTATTTAATAAATGTATATATGCCTCTAGTGTTTAGGCCCAATGTTTCAATTTTCAAATAATTTTAAATCCATGTGAGTAGAAAATTCCAAAATTTTCAACTCCATTCATGTCAAATAAAACAGATGCTGTCCGGCACAACGTCCCTTACCTCAATATCAGGAGAACTATACGCTAAAATGGAAAGATTCTGTCAAGTCTAAAATGGTTAATTACCCTATGATGCCATCTGTTTGTTTAGGAAATGATTATTATCTTCAAAATACCAAATTATCTTTAGAAAAATTAATTTGACTACATGTGGACGCTTTCTAAGTAAGACAGAGTTACAAAGAACCCCGCATTTTGCAAAATAATGTGACTTTTTTCTTTAGCAACCCCATCTTGCCTCTTTGTTTTGCTCCCTGTGTTAATGGATCGTATTTACCCTCAAAGTGCGCATTTATGTCCCAACGTCCCGCGCAAGCAGCTAACTGATAGGCCGTGGTATATTTTAGTAGCTTTAACCTTTTAATTATGTCTCTCATTATTATAAGTCTTGCTAGATTTCTTTTTCTTATCTTTAGTAGATTTGATTAAGTAGTGATTTACATAATTTAGTAATAAGGAGAAGCAAGCTAACCATGTACAAGGCTAACCAAGATGAGGCTGTTGAGTTAATTTTGGAAGAAAGTATCTGTGAAAGGATGAATAAAACTCTGGAATGTTGAAGGAGAAGATCACATTGTTTAGTTTTATATTTCCTTCTTTCACATTCCTTTCTCCTCCACACACTACTAATTTTTCATGTTTATGGCCCATTTATTCAGTTGTTTCTTAAGGATACTGAAAGCGAAGCAACCATGTTACTGTAGTCTTTAGGCGAATGCTGGTTGTGTTGGTTGGCTCTTCTCTGAGTTTGCTCTTTCGAAGGACAGCATGCCCTTCTGAATACTTGGCTATTTCACATTCTGAGACTGGGTTGGAGTGAGTGGGTCCACTGCCAACAGTTGCCAGTGTGTTAAGAGTCCATTCATAGTTGGAAATATTGCTCACTTCAGAGACACTGGTCACCAAGCAGTCGACAGCTAGGCCAAATCAACACCATGAGCATTGAGAAGTCCTCCCCGCGTGCATTTGTGTAGGAATGACACACAACTCAGAGCAGAACTTCCTGGCACCACCTTGCTCAGCATATGTCTACACTGCCCAAATCAGTAACAAATCTCCAGCCATTTACTTTCTCATGCAGCTAGAAATGTTAAGAACCCAAGGATCTAGGGGAGTTATTGTTCTTGGATGCCAAACCTTTTTTAAGCATAATGTTAATTGAATTGAAAATTCAAAACTTTTTATTCACATGATTTCAAAGAGTCAAATGTTTGAAAATGCCCAGAGAATGTAGTAGATATTATGGAGCTCACCCAGATGGTTGACGTTACACAGACCCAGATCAACTGTATTCACGAAGTGACTACACACCCTATGTCAGCAGGTAGGACTTGTGAGTGGAGGGTAAGGAGGACCTTCCCCTTTTCATAGGCTGAACTCAGGAGATAAAGGGCAGGAAAAGCACCACCATGAGGGCTGTGCAGTGAAGGAAAAAAAAAGAATGAATGCTTTCCAGTCAAATGATGCCATGTAATATATATATATCTGTATATATGATTCTAAATTTATAGTTTACACACACATTAGAAACCATTCTAACACATGAACTGATAAAATTAAAAGGGATACAAGCATCACAACCCAAAATGAGAAAGCAAACATATCAAAATTGCCCAAAAAACGTCCTTTCAAATCATTTTTAAAGTGTTTTTAAACTTAGGAAAAAAGAAAAAGAAAGAAAGAAAGAAAGAAGAAAACAGTGTTATGGGAAGTTTCCATGGCAACACAAAGAAAATAACATTCTTTTAGTTCTGGGAAATTAGAAAAACTGGGATGGTCTTTCCAGGAAAAAAAGAAATGTGTAACATCTCTTTATCACTCCCTCTTCCTCCCCCACCTCCCTCCCCACTTTGTCTTGAGTAAATTGCTGGGAAAGCAAGAAACTTAATGCAAGAGTCCTGTGGTGCTCAGTGCTTTCATTTCCCTCCCTCCTGGAAATGGAACTACAGTCGTAAGTGATCTGGGATGTAGAGAGGTAGCGGAGCCAAACTGTGGTCGATGGGAAGAGGAGTATACACTTCTCACTCTGGAAAGAAACCCAAGATGAGGCCAGGGAAAGGCCCACAACCTAAGATTTTCTGCCTGGGTTTGATACAGTTCGGGGTTGGCGTCAGTTTAGGGTCCAAACTGGACCAGATTAAAGAGTTAGATTGTTGATTCTAGAGGAAATTAAAAGGCTGTGTTTATCTACCAAAGCAGTGCTTGTTCACATGAACACACACACACACACACACACACACACACACACACACACACACACATTCCTTCTCCCAGATAGACCTTCTGAGATGGAGAACTGAGGCCTTTCAGTCCCTTTGCTTTCGCATCAATAACATCAAATATAGGGAAACGTTTTGCTCCCTTTGCCTCAGGAACTCTAATTCTCTATCATATAAATTATACTATCAGTAGAGTTCAGTTTTTATTGCATAATGAGAAAAACTTGGTGAAAGAGATTGTTTTCATTTTTACCCTATACAAATCCATGGATTTGCTTGGTTGATGGGTTCTCTCTCTAGACTCCATTTCAGTAGTATGGGGTTATTAATTGTCTCCCAAAGAATAATAGCTACTCAGAAGTTTCAGTAAAAACTTGACCATCACCAAATCAATGGATACACTCAGAAGTATCCCCTGCCAGGGCTTTGTCAAATTATCTGTTCCATCACAGATTTGATCATGAAAATTATTTAAAAGGCTATCTGTATGTTAGCAGCCCATTCTCCCTGTTTCCTGGGACTTTAGCAAGTTTGGGAGATAAAGGCTCAGGGGAAGAAAGAGGAGAGAGGAGGGAAGGGTACTGGTAAAGAAGGGAGTGCCAGACCTATGAAGTTAATCTACTTACTAGGAAACATTTAAGAACAGCTCCCCTTGACTGAAAATCCAACCACTTCTTGCTGTCATCACTACGATTTGCAAACAAGGCATTCCTTGACTCACAATGCAGCTAGATGAAGAACTTCATTTTCAAATCCTAGAGAGTCTTGATTAGAAGGAAGAAGAGATGTAGAGGATCTGCTTTCCCCACTTGGCTCACCTGTGCAGGGGAGCAGAGAGTGGAGAACTGAGTTTCCAACATCCAAACGTCTAAACCTAAGAGCCAGGGAACTCTATGTAGGTTCTGGACATGAGGTCTTCCTGCATCTCAGTATATCCTGACTGACTTGTCATTAGACCTCTCTGGTTTTCTGGTCTCCATTCTATTAGACAAGTATGTATGTAGCACTTGCTTGGGAGGAGGCTCTTCAGGTAACAATTTAGCAACTGCTGCTTGGGTTCAACATATTTTTGCCCAAATAGGGCATGTGGCAAACCAGAGCAATTGATATCCAAGGAAAGGCCTTCCCCAGTATCAGTGAACCATCGTGGAACTGAAAAGATCAACTCTTCCAACAGAAGACACATTTGCAGCTTTGAATGGAAACTCAGAGCAGAGAGTGAAGGAAAAAAATGTCTTGGGAATATTATCCTCACCTCACAGTTTAATAATAATCTTCTTATCTCATTTTTCTAGTAGAGAAGCTACACATCAAGCTTATTCAAATCCAGTTTAAGAAGCCTTTTGCAAGGTACTTGTTTTCTCACCTAAGGTATTTTCCCTCCCCACCTCACCCCTATACCCCCCTTCCTCTCTTCCCCCTGCAAGAGGAAACATTTAAAACAGCAGAGTCTAATCACAATTATGTCATAATGGATACATTAAAAGCATTTAACTTCCTGTCTAAGGAAATGTATAAGCTAAGGCATAGGCAAAACAACGGGAAATGCTGAGAAATTTTCCAATGGAGAGAAGTAATCCAGATCATATTTTGCTAAAAGTTCTTTTTATGTCATATGGTATCAGGATTTGGGAAAACTAATTTTTTTTTTAAATGCTGGAAACTGCATCTTCAGGAAATACGTCCCAGAGACAGGAGTAGAAACGAAAGGTTGAAAATCCATCTGTCAGCATTTATCCCGGAAGTTTTTCATTTAGAAACAATTGTGTTTATCTTCTGATTTTGCAGTCAATATGTTGTGTACTATGTGACTCATGCTTCTTGGTAAATAAAGCACCAAACATGTATCTGTAACCATGATCATGTATATTGTATTAAATATATATCTGTATCACAACCTCTGTGAGTCCTTCTTAACTCCCGAACGTGCTTGATATGAAACTATGCCTTAAGATAGGCTTTCTTGCTCCCTATGCTCCTTACACCATGTGAGCCCTAAATCAATTGGGATGATCCTTATCCAATAAGCATCAATTATACAATAGCCCGACAGCAAAACTCAGAAAGGGAGATACAAAGTGCCCCAGACTCATACACTCTGTTGACTACTTTCCCTTGGATTCAAATGGCAACTTATTGACCTCGCTGTTCACTGTTAGAACTAAACACATTAACACATTATACCATTTGGATCCTGCAATAGTCAGTGACTATAGTCATTCCTTTCTCCCCTTGCACTGGTGAAAGAGCTGAAATCCTGGTGCCATTGCAAGCAGCTCAATTCTATGACCTTAGATTTGGTGCTCAGATAGTTTGAGTAATGGGCTGAAATTAGCCAGCTAGGGTTGGGACTGAGGGATGGGAAAGTTTGTGTACAGAAAGAAGCATAAATGGGAGCAGATCTGTAGGGAGAAACAATAATGAGAAATGTGTGTTGGGGAGAGAGAAGGATAGAGAGAGAAATTGAAGAGAATGTCTGTCCTGGTCATCTGACAGTTTCTTAGATCTCATTCCAAGTCCCTATGAAGCCTAACTGTATTTAATGTAGATGCAATGGTCCTAAATCATTTCAATGCCACCTATTCTCCTCTTCAATTATCTTGGATGAGGGGCGCCTGAGTGGCTCAGTCGGTTCAGTGTCCTACTCTTGATCTCAGCTCAGGTCTTGATCTCAAGGTTGAGAGTTCAAGCTCCACACTGGGCTCCATGACAGGCATGGAGACTACTAAAAAAAAAAAAATCTATATATCTAAATCTATATCTAAATCTATACCTATATCATCTATATCTATCTTGGATGAGTTTCTGAGAGTTTCCATTCAAGAAGTATTACTAGAACGAAGATCATTGGTACTTTTGTCTTCCCCATGGAGAAGTGATGTTCTCAAGATCACTACGAATTAGTGGCAGAACAGACTTAGAGGTCAGGGAGACTGCCTCTCAGACTCCTGTTTGTTCTACTAGATCAAAGGAACCACATGTGATCCCTCAAAGCATTACAATTACTCCTAACTTGAGTAAAACAGGGTATGCCAACACTGCCCAAGTGGGAGTCCATGCTATTAACCGTCAGTGATGTAAGCCAAGTTCTCCAAGCTATATGATCTCCAAAGCACATTTTGCTAATTTTGCATTTTCTAAATCAGCAGTGTCTTGAAAAATCATTTTGCTCATAAAATACTTTCCACATACCTTAACTCTTCAGATGGCTTCCCAATGCCTCGGCGCATTTTTCATTTAAATTAGTCTCATCTGGAAAATTCCTGGTCCTGTTTCCATGCTTTTCTGTTTTTTGGTCAAATCCTACCCTCTAAATGTTTTCACTTATTAAAGTGAATGACAGTTTTA